CTCCTTTATCACTTTCATTCTCTATCTCTACTCACTGTTATCATCCTTTTCATCTCTTTCACTCTCTACTCTCTCATCATCATCATTATCATCATCTCTACTTCTTCTACTACTCTCTTTCACTCTGTATCATCTCTATCACTATTATCAGATTAATCAGAGCTGTACAGATTGCAGAGTCAGCTATTCAATCTCATTCATGAATTCAAAGAGATATATATGACATCACATGAGATTTTATTACAGAGTATTTAGCAGTATATACTATAAACACAGAGATCAAAATATGATAGAGATAGTAAGAGAGGAGTAGAGATAGTGAAAGTAATAGAAGAGACTGTAGAGTAGTAGAGATAATGATGATGATAGAGAGGCTAGAGAGTGGAAAAGATGATAGAGAGAGATGATAGAGATGATAGAAGTGAGAGAGATAATAGAGATGGTAAGAGAGGGGTAGAATGATAAGATGAGGATAGAGATAGAGAGTGAAAGTGATAGAGGGTGCTGTGAGGCAGTAGAGGCAGTGGTGGTGATAGAGAGAGTAGAGGTGGTAGAGGTGGTAGAGGTGGTAAGAGTGAGAGTGATAAGATGGGGATAGGGGTATGGAGTGGAAGTGATAGGGGGTGTTACAGGGCGTTAGAGGCGGTGGTGATGGTAGGGGGTAGATAGAGTGGTGCAATTGGCAGGCGCCACTACATGGATATCCACGGATTTTTGATGGGGTGCATGTGATGTCACGTGAGGTCACGTTACAGGGCATTTTACTCGGAAAAGTTGGTTTTTCTATAATATATAGAGAGATACATAAATCAACAACCATCATGAACACATCTCTCAAGCACAAACACGTGACTTCTTCGGACTTGGAATGAGCAATCAAGTTAACTCTCGATGTATGCAAACGATATCCCAATACTGATATAAACGATTGAAATATCTCATAGTACTCTGCCCTTTACATTTGGCCAGGCAGTCGCCCAAACCCAATGAATGTATCACGATTCGGGATGAAAATTAGGGCAGTTCGGACCATGAACACTGGTCTTCCCCACAAGCTGCGTACAGCGCAGGAGCCGCGCCAGAACATGCTCTATAAAGTCCGTCTATCAAGCATAACACAGGCGAATCCTACTGTCCGCCTTTTGCGGTTGGCCATAGGGCGTAATCCGACTGAATGTGAAGTATGCTTCAAACCCCCCCCCCCAAACACCCACCAACTGCGATATTTCCCACAGTTTGATTGAACGCTGTTTAATGTTTCCTGCATAAAAAATTGTTTTAAAACCGCGAAACTTGATCACCATTATATATTAAATGAGACACAATTTCCCCTTATATATAATATAGTCCAATCATGGCCAATCAAGACCATTTCACTTCCTCCCCGGCCAATGGCTCGACGTCCATGTCCCCTCCGTCCCACAAGCCGGTGGCTTCACGATAACCTCCACCCCAAGCGATGCATTACCGCCGGTAAGAGATAGCAGTAACAATGAAGCTACAGCGGAACCGTACATAGAACTTGCTGTCCAAGAATCACCATCTAATCCGCCCGCAGCCTGGCTTTGGCGCCCCGGGGATGAGATTCTTGGACAGGAGCTGGCAGTAAGGGTTGGCGGGAGCTTTATCTGGCCACCCCATGATGTCCTGCTAGAAGCGATTGGAAGAGTGGTGTTTGTTGCGGGTGGAGTGGGAATTAAGTATGTATAAATTCCGGTGGCTTTAAAATCTCCACAAACTGCCATATCCAACCAATTCATACATATCGGATTTGGAGAGCTCATGCTGAGGGATGATGGGAATGTTAATTGAACCTCAGGCAATAAATTCCATGATACCTTCTGGCTAACCGTCCCCGTCTAGCCCGCTAATTTCAATGATATCACATATCTTCAAAAATCCCTCCCACTTACCACATTCACCAGCCATTCATTTACTTTATTCGACCAGACTCCCCACCACCCCCAAGGCTGGTGAAGATATCTCGAAACACCTAGACCAAATCCTCTTTTTCCCCCGGCTTCGGAGCATTCTCGATTCTCAACGGCCAGATCATCATACCAATCGAGAGGAGCCATCCCTCCGCCTTCACTTTCATCTCTATATCACCAACCTCCATGGAATGCCCCACAGTCCCCCAACAGACTTCACATTGCACAACCGTCGGATCCAGATGCCTGATCTGCATGACGTCTTTGGTGGAAAAAGAGACGTCGTTCCAGATGGGTACAGCTCAAAGGACCCCGGTCGAACGGTATGTTACATCTGTGGACCACCTGACATGACCGATGAGTTCGTCGCTGGTGCCGAAGAGGTCATTGGGGCCGGGGTGGGCAGGAAGAAGAGCGTGTTTTGTGAAAAGTGGTGGTGAACTTATTGGTCGGTGAGGGGAGACACGGATTTTTTTTTTTTTTTTTTTTTTTTTTTTTTTTTTCCCATGCGCATGCATGGTACACACATCGGAGGTTTGGATATAAATTGAACGAGGGGATGGGATACATAGATAATGCTCAAAGGAGTATAATATAAGTCACTTTTGGGATTGAATCTCCATAGATAATATGAACAGCAGCTTGTATAAAACTAGGCAGAGCAATAAACCCTTGAGGCATGACGTGTAAGGAAAAATATCATGGAAGTTTCGTTCGTATGGAGAAAACGAGCCCGTAGATCTTTAGAAAAGACCACATTAATAATGGTGATTCGGAAACATTACTCCTCAAAACAGAGCGAGCCGAACCACAAGACGAAGTAGGCAAACATGGATCAATGGAGTGGTGATCGCTCTGCCAAAAAAAAAAAAAAAAAAAAAGGCGAGAAAGAGGACCAATAATACCCTAACCAAAAAGGTATATGGTAGTAAAAAGCGACCAGGTGTTTTAAGATGACTTAAAGAAAAAAGCAGATACTCTTTTCGAAGGACAGCTTGAGTAGGAAAACTAATAAATAACTAACCGAATAGAGGACCAGGAATCAGATCTATCAAAGTGTTACATTGTAAAGGAAAATACGAAACAATGGGTTATAAAACCTAGCCAGCAGTGATATACCACATAAAATGGGAATAGAATAAGCTGAAAGAAAACAAGGGAGAGAGAAAGGCAAGAGAGGAAAAAAAAAAAAAAAGAAAAGAAAAGAAAAAAAAGAAAAAAGAAAGGATGAAATTCCAACGCCTATGTTTTAGCACACATGTCACGCTTTCTCTTTTTCGGTAAGGGAAATTTAAATTAAATAAACAGATTCAGAGGAGGCGAACAAGTAGCACTTAATAATCGGGCTGGACCACTTTACCAGCGTCGACAATCATCATCTCATCAATTTTTGATTCCGTGTCGCCATACTCAAGCCGCTTGTAGGTCATTATTCTGGCAGAGTTCATATTGATGTCGAAGAATCTGACGCGTCGTATGTAGCCGCCGTATCCACCATAGCCGCCAAAGCCGCCACCCCCGGCGTAGCACATCCACAATGACGGCTCTGAATCGGTTTCCTGGTCTAGCATGCAGTAGTCATTTACATGATCGCTAAGAGAGGAAAAAATAGAGTTAGCGCGAACGAAGATCGCTTATAAACGTTGAACCAAAATGCCAACTCATTGCTAGTGATGGTCGGTGACTTACTGGCCACAGCTTACAACGAGAACATTCTCGCTGACGAGGGCATCTTTAAATCCTGAATTGAACTGAGCAGTGAGTCGACAGTTTCCCTGGAGAGTTGTTGGGTTCGGTATCTGGAAGTGGATATGATGACGCCATGTTCATATGGATATAGCGATACTCGCGGTGAGACTTCTGAAGTCTCTGTGAGCTAGCCTTGAACCATTCGATCTGGCTGGGTTTTATCCAATCGTATCCCCGGAATTGGCGCTCATTTGGAGAGTAACTGTGTGTGTCGAGGAGGTAAAGACTTAAGGCGGAGTGAGATGAAGTATGGTCAAGAACTTCAACTATATAGTTGCCCACGCCATCGATATCGACAGGGCCAGGCTCCGATAAAGAGTACGGTAACTGCTGTAAGACGTTCATGGACTGTGATCGATCAAGGCTACCCTCATCGTCATGGTTTCCAAATATAGCGGCCCACGGAACACGGCGTTGAACGAAAATATCAGCGAGTTTAAAGATCGCTGTCACCGTATCGGGCGCTGTATCCCCGTTAACTTGGTCGCCGGATACAACGACTAAGTCGGGCTTTTCCTCGTCAAGCATTCTGCCAATGAATTCCAGGGTACGAGGATCCGCTTCACACTTGCTCTCATCTTTCAAAGGCGGGATTGGCTCCCTGCACCTTCCAACCCCTGTACTCAAATGCAGGTCCGACACCTGCATTATCTTAAATTTCCCGTCTTTGCGAATTCTCGGAGGTGGCCGATCAATCTTGGCAGGGTGTCCTCGCCTGATAGACAAACGCGCTTCACTGTTGGTATCCAGCAATAGCGGCGTATCTTTCACTTCCCAGCCCGGACGAGGATCCGCAGCATCAGGACCGAAAAGGACATCTAAAGAGGTAATAACCTTCTGTGGATCTCCTGTATGACCTCTGTCGGTTCTCAGGAGCCAAATACCAGCCGGCCTTGGCTCCCACTTTTTATCCGTGCCAGCACCAGGATCAAGTCTACCCATTTTTAGGTCAACTACAATTAAATCGGCAGGAAGAAGATCCTCTTCCTTCTTCCTTCGTATGTGTAAGAAAGCGCTCGAGGTCCAACCGGTCCCCAGGTATAGGTCCTTCTCGATGCGATGCCATGTCTCCGGGTCGAGCATGCAGCTTGAGAAGATGTTTAGGGAAGAGCAGGTCGTGACAGTGACATCGGTGACAACAAGCCCCGGGTGATGAGAAGGAAGATGGTCATGGATTACGGCAGGCAAGAGCTCTAGCCTACTATCGAAGATCAACAGTGTCACGAGGATGATCAGGACCAGTAGGCCCAGTTGAATACCGGTTCTAACCTAGCCAAAATACACAATTGTCAGCATACTCTACGAGCATAATTATCAATATAAGGGGAAAAAACAGAAGGTCAGCAGCCTACAATGCGCCGCGTCACCATGGTTTCGCCAGCTTGCTACCAAGGAGTAAGCCGTATCGAAGTAGCCTGCGAAGGGACACGGGACAGAGTAAACAATAGATCCGTGAGCATCGTGTAGAACTAGGGAAGCTGGTGGAGATCAAAATCTAAGATGGCCCGGGCATCGACGCAAACAGCAGCGGAAAAGGCCGTCCAGGACCAACGGGGGAACTGGTTAAATAAATGGTCATACAGTTCATGATGCTTTCTTAGCCTTCCACGATTCTTGGAGATGCGACGAGCTTGGGCGGGTCATCGGGGCCGGGGTTACTATTCTCCGCCACTTCCCCTGGTCTCGGCCCCTGGGAGCAGAAATAATTTTAGCTTTTTCTTTATTTTAGTTATATCTTTTTCGCTACTCCGTACTCCGTACATACTTTTATATTTAGAATTACCACTCTCCATAGAACTCAACGGAAAATTTTTTGCCAGGTTTCAAGTAGCTTAATTAAATGTCAAGACTCCTCGCGCCGCTCCGTCGCGGCTGCGTGCGAGCATATAGCAGCAGCAGGGCAGCAGATGCGAACTTCTCCGTTTTCCAAGGTATCTTAACCCTGCTTCCCACTTCCCTTTCTCAGATCCAATTATATTCTCGACTAACTCCTATTAACTGGCGATCTCGATTAGAGGGCGACAGAGTTCTTATAAATACAAAAACTCCCACATTAACGAAACCGCTAAAGAAGGAGGAGCGGACAAAGCTTGCTCGCGGGTATCTAGCGCATGACGACATTATCGGGAAAGGACCCAGATATCCTATCAAGTCAAACAGAGGTTAGTTATGGATTGAATCCTATATCGTTTCATTGAATAGCTATTCTTAGTCAAGAAGCAACTTCTGATCGGGCTCAAATAAAGGCGCGCTGTATAGGGTAACCCATCCCACGTTCGAAGACTACATCATTCGAACTCCACGACTTGTGACTCCTGTATGTCCATATTAAGCCCATTAATACTCTTTCGAATGTCTCCGCGATAAGATAGATGAGTTCACCCATTTTAACCAACATGACTCGCAGATCTACCCCGCCGACGCCAACCTAATAGTATCCCTGTTGGACCTTCACGTCACATCACCGGTGCCGGGAGAAGAACCAAATGAGCCACTGGAAATACTAGAAGCAGGAACGGGTCACGGATCTTTGACATTGCACCTAGCCCGAGCTATAAACGCCGCAAACACATATCCACCAAAGCGACCGCCTTATTCACAACGACAAATCCTCGAACTGCCCAAAACCAAAAAGAGGGCCGTGGCCGATGAGGAGGAGCAGAAGGAGGAAGATCACGAAACTAAAGCCAAGAACGAGGAGCTCCAACGCAATTGGGATGCATGGCGTGCGCAGCGCAGCGCCATAGTCCATACCGTAGACATATCCCCGCACTACTCCCAACATGCGGAGAACATCGTCCGCGGATTCCGCCGGGGAATATATGTAGGAAACGTCGACTTCTACGTGTCCAGTGTTGAGAAATGGATCCAAGAACAAGTAGCTCGTCGTTCGACAAATCAAGACTCTCCGGATCCGTTCCTGTCACGTGTCATTCTAGACATGCCCTCTGCACACCTGCGGATCCCACACGTCGCCCCGATCATGAAAGATGATGCGGTGCTGGCTGTTTTTATGCCTAGCATAACCCAGCTTGGGGATTGTGCAAATCTTATTTCGAAAGAGAGACTACCGTTTTTGCAAGAAAAGATCGTTGAGCTCGGGACTGGGATTAGTAGTGGGAGGGTTTGGGAGCTCCGGATAACGACGAAGCGGAGTCCTAAGGACGCTCTTAGTCGGGAAGCCACTACGGAGGAAACCCTAGATGAGACAGCTGAAGATTCTTCTAATACTACGGTAGAGGAAGTTCCTAGCCTGACAAAGGGAGAGAAGACAGATCGAGAAGAGGTTCTAGTTTGTAGACCCCAAGTGGGAGAGAGGATTACGGGCGGCGGCTTTGTAGGGATATGGAGGAAGAAGAAAAGCTGGGTAGATCTCAGCTAGAGACGATCGTATGTACTGTATATTTAAATTAGCCCTAGAAATCATACATTGCAGCTCTGCGATGGAGATATCCTGCATGAGAAACAAACAAAACTCGGCAGATGTTCTTCCCCCTCTCCTAAAAGAAACCCTCCTTCCATTTATAATTTCGCCGTAGGGGCATTATGGTTCGCAGCAACTTCAGACCGTTTGAGAATCCACTCAGCAACGTCTTTCGCCAGAGCTTCCTTGACGCCTTCTGGCTCCCCGTGGAGCTTGTGGTAGGCGCCCTCGTAAGACTTGAAAGTCTTATCATCAGACTCAAGTCTCTCTACGAAACTCCGACTAGCCTCATAACTATTAATCTCATCCGCTGAGCCATGACATACCCAGATGGGTCCCTTATATTTGCAATCCTTCCCAACCTGCTCCCCCTCCAGCCATGCTCCCCGATCCAACATTCCACCAATCCCTTCCAATGTCCCTGTATCGTGACAGAGTGGATCCTGCCTCCACTCCTCGCAAATACGCTTGTCTCTCGACATCAAGTATTCATTAAGAGGTTGTACAAGCTGAAAGTTTGGCAGGACCTTTGATGCAATCCTACCCAGGAATACCGTGAGGTTCCACGGGCGTGTGCTGGGATGGAGAGCAATAAGGGGCGAATATGCCAAGACTCCCGCAATGGGAGGTAGATCCAGAGATGAGTTAAGCGCGTAGTATAGAACCTCAGCGCCACCTTTACTGTGTCCCATTATGAACACAGCGGGGATCTCTGAGGCATCGCTATCTGACGATGATGCCGACTTTACGGAGTCGAAGATGCCGGTGACGAAGGAGTGGAAATCGGACATGACGACCTCCGTTCCCCCTGTCAGGCCACGGCTTGCCTTGCCGGTGACAGAGCGTCCCCAGCCTCTGGTTTAGGGACACAATTCTCTTAGCTTTTGATTCCTTTTGCTGGAATTCACACAGTTTAGAGGGCTGTTCCTCGATAAGGTCGCTAGCTAGCTAGCAGCCACTATAGTCCGGGGAAAGGACTATATGGTTATTTTTTTGCCGACGGGGAAACAAAACGACAAACATAGGAAAAGGAAATGAGTGCTGCTGTACCGTTGATCCAGTGCCCTGATTTCAACCCCGTAGGAAGCCAGTGTGGGAAAGAGATCGTAGTAAGAGTTGCCTACAATTACGCATTAGCACAGCTACATAACATGTAAAATTCCTCTCCTGTTTCCATTTCCCTATAAATATAAAGAAGTAGAAGGAGGGAATGCAAAAAGAAGAATGACCTACAATGATCACTGAAGCCATGGACGAATGCAATGATCGCCTTCGGTGGTCCATCGGCCTGTATAGTTCAACACCAGTCAGCCACGTTGGATTGCACTGTAAGACTAAAAGTTGCGGAGAACAAAGACGGGGAAAGGATAAATTTATAAGATAATATGAAAGCATTCGCAAGATATGATTTGGTAGAGCAGGATAGGCTGTCAAAATAGGAGATTTCATAAAACTATCCTACCTTCCATGTCTTGGTATACAGCTTCGCTCCGTCGGGAGCAACATGCCAACCTTCTTCTGTTGCAACCATGTTTGCGGGAGTCTCGTTACCTCTAAACTAACAAGTGCTCGAACGGAGTGACTGAGAAGGTGCTGTCTCCTTGGGATGACCTCGAAGGCGAGAGTTTACTGGAAGGTTAAGTGGTGTTGAGATAGTTGAAGATCCTGAAGGGCTGCCGCCAGTTGATCGAGCTCCCTCGGCACCGGCCGCGCTTCTTTGATCATGTGCTTGATATTCGCATCAACCATCAACCATCAACTAAATCTCCGCTACATCACGCCATTATGGCACAATTTCTGTGAAACATAATTGCGTAATGGCAAATAGTAGACAAAAATATATTCACCTGCAGTTTACACTATACAATACTTATTTTGATGAGGCTAGATGTGGTTGATATTCCATATTGAGGAAATGGTGAATAGTAGATTTCCGTGATGATGCTTCATTTATTTAATCTATAAAAGCTCATTTTTCCTGCCCTTGCATTTGCATTTGCATTTTTTTTCTTTTTACATTTTACATTCTTTTCTCCTTTGCCTTTCTCTACCCACATCCGCGACATCGTTCCAAATCATTCTCGATCCGGCATAATAAACCCTCGCCAATCAACACTCTTCCTCTTCCAATAACCTACGCTCGCGTTCCCTATATCCATTTTCCGCTACATTCAACTTGATAGTGCCTATCAACATGTGTGACGTGATTGCGATCATGGGCGAATGTGGCCATGTTATTCGATACGCTGTCATGACTGATCGGAGGTGTCCCAATTTCCCAAGGTGTGAGTTTCGAATTGGGGAAGTAGAGTACGTTTCGGACCGTTGTGATAATTGCAAGACTACCTGAGCCGTACTTGCATCGAGTACAGAATATCTCGATGACGAGTTGATATACGAGTTGATATAAACGATAATGGATACCTGGTCATTTTGTCTCCTTGGATTTTTGGTAGTTGTCATGTCTTGAAATGAGGAAAGCTTCCTGCTGGCTGCCTGGAAAACTTTTTAAATTGATGTTTTGGATGTCCCATTGTCTATGCATTGCTCCTTCCGAGTCAAAGCCTATCGCGATGTCAAGATAAATTCAGTGGGTATTTATGTAACTTGCACTGGTTGAAATTTCAAGGGGATGTTTCGCCATGATGCCCATATAACTAAACAGATAGGCCCAGAAGGCTCGTCTTCAATTTAATACATCAATTATTGCAAAGGATCTTGATTTACTAGCCTCCACGATGATCAGAAACCGGGAAGTCGTCTGTCTTGGGTGAATATCTAGGGACTGTTATCTTCATGCTCCATGCCCCTTGCTTCACCCATCCTAGCTGAGAATTGGGAATGAGTCCAGGGCCTGTTTTTCCATTGTCCTATGAAACCGCTTGGTTGGGCGGATGTGCCTTCGTAGCATGTAAAAACAGGCGTTGAAGACGTTCCGAACCGGGACGAAGATAGTAATAACCAAAGAGGTCATCTTGCGCTACTCGAATGTTCTCGCTCATATATTGTACTCTAGCGCTAGGTTTAGATGTTAATGTGCAGGTTTTGAATTTTGACATTGACAAAGTTCCCATTCAAAGTTCCTTTTATCGATTTTGGTGAAAACTTCGAAGATTGACAGTGTTTATGATGCAGCGAGAGGGGGGCGGGGTTTCTGAAGTTTCTGTCAATAACGGGGAAATGATTTAAAGATAGCGATATGTGTTCGTAAGTTAGATTTCGATGCTAAGCATTGCTAGCAGGCAGATCAGTGCTATAAAAAGATCATTCGCAGCATAGGGCTACCAAGAGAGGTATGATCGCCGTCTATACAAGCACGCAACAACTTGTTGTATGAGTTCCAAGATCGTTTGAGACATTCAGCTCTCGTATCGAAAACACTTCCTCATGATCATGGGCCTCATTATCATGGGCTAAGGAATACAGACCCCATATTTCAGCAGGCTCATAATTCGGCTTGTACACCGAGAGCCTAAACGAGCTACCCCTAGTGGCTCTCAATTTTTGTTGTGCTCTGAATGGAGAAAATCCATACCCTGGCAGTCGATGGCATAGCCTTGCTGGGAATGTTCATAATCACAAGCACCATAAATAAATAAGACAGTTGCCCTCGTCATATGTGAATTCAAGGTGGTATTCTTTTCCTCCTGGTTTACGCAATCGCGCTGAATCGTATCAAACAAGCATTCTTCCATTACAGAAATTCGGGAAATATATACCCCTTCCACAATCATGCATCTCTCGACAATCTGAGCATCTTGCACAAATTGTGTCGGAGATGCTTGCCTGAAGATCTGCCACCACGAGAAATCTGACTGCCAGCCTGGTTGGGTAAGCATCTTCTTGCACCTGGGTTTTGATCGTCATTTGATAATCATGGCCCTGGCAGCCTAGTATGGATTTTATTAACTTGCTTGGATAGTGCGCGAAAAATGTCGGAACCGAAGAGAAGCCTTGCTGGACTTGCTGCAAGTAAATAATGTATCTTGAGTGTATTGTCCACGGGTGGCCGCAGAAGAAGACACACATCCGCGCAGTCATTTGTTGGAGCGGAAAGGGGAAATAGAAAGAGCCTCGCGGCTGATATCAACCTATTATGTAGATTGCACCTGGTGATCTTGTGGGTTATTTTCTGTCGTTTTCCCTGAGGTCGTTTCTTTGTCTCCTCTGGTTTCGGTGGCTCAGGATATGACACAGGTTGTTCGAAGTAGTGAGAATGGACAACTGGTATCTCCAAATAATAGAAGACCCATTATCATGACAGTCACGGAGTCACAAAATCAGAAACGAGGTCTCCTCATTGTTCCCACCCTTGTAGTATCTTGATCATATAATTCTAATCCATGGTTTAATTGCCGCCGCCGCAAGGTGGAAACGACATCCCCTGCTGCTCTATCCTTCTTGGAATGTATCGGATAAAAACAATGGATTTGTCAGTGGACTGGAAGTTTGACGAATTGAAGATGCAGGCTATCTGTGCCACGCCAACGAAGTCGAATCATTTCAGCCAACCAGACCCAGGAGTGCTATTATTTTCACAATCCTTTAAAAGATGAAAATATCAAAGGCGGCTATCCCCTTGCTCCTCAATCCAGCTTGGGGGAAAGTTGAAGTCCGTAAAATTCTCCAGGGAAATGGAAATAGGTGATGACGTCTCTGCCTCGAATGGAAGCCCCGTAACGATGTGATGCGCCCTTTGACCTCACCGAACGAGGAGCTATAACGAGTAGTAGGAGCCTAGGAGGTTAGGCCAGGGGATTCCCGAGCCAGATGTATGTGGAACAGAGTTCCATGACGAAATATGAATTATTAATCCTGAGGGGGAAATGCAGGCCAGATGTTTGACTCGGTCGAGATCTTCTTAGTGGGCACAAAGCTAAATGAGTTGTTAATAATCTACAGATTGGTTACGAGAAATATATAATCATATACATATATATAAAGTCGGAAAAAGGACATTCATTCCCCCAAAAGTGGGAGTATCGAGAAATCGTTTATTTTACATCAAGACAAACGTATTTTGTCACATCCAACCGTCCTCTTAACTAATCCCACCATTCCGAAACACGAGCAGTTTAGCATAATATATCATTTTTATACAATGGCAAACCTCTTACCTCCCTACACGGAAGAGACTGCCAAGCTGAAAGTGCAGCGTGCGCAAGATCTCTGGAACTCTCAGTAGGTAGAAAATAGTGATATGGTCTCATTCAAATAATATGTGAACTATGGATATTTATCTCACCGCTAAATATATAGAAACCCGGCCGAAATCGCGAAAGTCTACACACCAACCAGCACCTGGCGGAACAGGGACCAATTTTTTAGCGGCACAGAGGCCATCAAGACATTTCTGACCAATAAATTCGCGAAGGAGATAAACTACAAGCTGCGCAAGGAGCTGTTTGCCTTCATGGACAACAAGATCGCGGTGCAGTTCTGGTACGAGTACCAGGATCGCGACGATGGGAAGAAGTGGAAGCGGTGTTACGGGATTGAGCACTGGACGTTTGAGACGGAGGGGGAACATGCAGGGAAGATGCGGGTGAGGATGATGAGTGGGAACGATGTTTTGATTGGAGAAGGAGGGAATGGGGAGGGGAGGTGGTTCGAATAAAAGAGGGGGTTAAGAATATTTATTTATTTATTTACTTTTGGATTGGAAACGCCCGCATTTAATTATAATTAGTAGTTTGAGTGTTTTTATAATGATGTCTAGGGAATGATTATCTTTAATATATAGTATGTATGTATATATGTATGTAATGCACCTGCGATTGGACACTATCAACATTCTCTCGGCTCAGGTCATAACGTAGTTGCAAAACTCACCTCATTTCTGTATCGATATTCCTGTTGCATTATCCATTCTCTTCTTTTCCTCCTTCTCAAGCTTCTTGTCTTTCTCCCTCTGAAGCCTCTCGTCTCGCTCTCTCGCCTGAACATCCAATCCCGTCTTCGTAACCTCATGCTCTTTCCTCAAAGTCTGCCTCCCAATCAGTAGGCTCACAGCTAACCCCCCCGCCGACAACACCGTATAAAACACCCACATCATCTGCAAAGCGTTAGTATAGGCCTCTAGGATAGGCCTCTTCTGATCTTCCGGTAGCGAATTTACAATTCCCGCACTGGCACCTGCGGAAGTTGCGCCTAACTGTTGGATAACTTGTGGCGGTAGCTGACCGGATAGTTTATCAAGCCTTGATTTCATGTGGTTCTGGAAGATCACACCGCTAATGACAACGGAAACGCTGCTGGCAATGTTTCGGCAGAACCCAAATGTAGAGGTAGCTGTTGCGATATCGCCTGGTTTGATATGGCTTTGCAATGCGATGAGGGGAGCTTGAAAATTGGGGCCGATACCAAGGCCCGAAATTATCTGGTATATGATGATACGGGGCCAGGATGTTTGTGAGGGCAGGTCGATATATAACCCGTGGCCGAGCAGCATCACGGTGAACCCGAGCCAGATGACTGGGAGATATTGGCCTGTTTTTCGAATGAAAATGCCTGTTGATGCGGAGGCGAGTGCCATTGAAATGACTGAGGGGAAAAGATAAATACCGGACTGGAGCGGCGAAGCTCCGATAATAACCTGGAAGTAGAGTGGTAGGAAGAACGAATCACTCGTAAAGACGAACCCGTGGAATAGAGCTGCGCCATATGCCGCAACAGTCGAGCGCTGTTTGAAAAGCCAGAGCGGGATGATGGGGTAAGCGGCAACCTTCCATTGGATGATCACGAATATCCCCAGCGTCACAACCCCGAACACGATCAAACATATAACAGTTGCAGATGTCCAGGGGAATGAAACGCCGCCGTAATCAAGGCCAAGGAGAAACATGACTGTTCCACAAACAACTGTAATAGAGCCAAACCAGTCAATGGCGCGGAGTCCGGCGAGGAATGGGGTTTTGGGCGTTTGGATTTTGAGAAAGAATAGGATAATGACGAAAGCAACTCCGTCAATAGGCACTGATCCACATCATTAGCAGCTGCATGAAAAGCAGCAACTAAGAAGGCTCGGGGGAACTTTACAGTTTACATAGAAGCACCAACGCCACGAGACATACTGTGTAAAGGCACCGCCAATCACAGGGCCGAGTGTGCCGGCAATAGCCCATACCATACCAACCATGGCGTAGTAGACACTCCTCGTTCTGAAATAAATTTATCAGTTTTGAACTCTTAACCTCTTTAAAATGGTAGGAGAGTTAATATGCACGTACCTCATACTAAACAAATCGCCAATGCTAATATTCACCAGGGAAAGCAACCCGCCCCCTCCGATACCTTGGACCGCTCGTCCCGCAAGCAGCATCTTGATGTTGATGCTTAGTCCGCATATCAACGACCCAACGAAGAAAACAACATTCGCCAGCAGTAAGATTGGCTTTCGTCCAAATATATCACTTATTTTGCCCCATGACGGCATTGAGGCTGTAAATGATTAGTACGTTAGATAGCCTCGGGGCGTTTTGCAAACAGTAGCTACAGACGTAGGCATCGGGAAGCTTACCGGCAGCACCAAGCGTGTAGGCTGATCCTATCCAGGTATAATCTCCCTGGGACACTTTAAATTGCTCTGAAATTGTCGGTAGTGCTGTGGTAATGATCGTCTAAAAGAAATTAGTTAGAAAATAATTTTCTCGGCAGCATTCATCTGGAAAAAGATACTTACCATATCAAGCGCAGCAAGAAACACAGCCAACTGTGATACCGGTCGCAATTAGCGAAGCGTTCCTCACAATGTTACTCCGTGAAGCATGGCAGATATACACAGAGGGCTGTCATAATCACAGCAATTCTGCTCTTGCTCATTTTGGCCTCCTTCTCGCCATTTCCCCCGGATCTCTCCCCGCTGGTAGGGGGATCTGATGAGGAACCAGCTGAAGCTTCTATATTTTGAGAAGTTTCCGTAGGGTCCCTGGCCGATGCCGGGCTCGGGACACTACCCATACTAGTAATGTCATGTAGATCGTTGGGCTGGGTTGTTGCATTCTCGGCATCGGGATGCCGAGCCTGATCGGTCAACATCCGTTCCCTTGCACACTTTAGACTCGGTGATACCGGCATAACAAGCAAGGAGGATGAGATCTCATGTTTGCCAGAAGGACCAAAGATCTTTTAATACATACCACGGTGATTACTAGAGCAACGTTCACCAACGTCGCTTAAACTAGTAGGGGGGCGATAACACTTTTTGGCTACCGAAGACACGGTAGGTACGGTATGTATAGCGAGCTGAGATTTTTGAATATCTCTACTACCAGTCCATACTGGTATAATAAATCTGATAGGGCAGGGAGCAAACACAGTCTCCGATCGCAAGTTCGTTAAGGGGCAAAAAAAAGAACAAAAAGATTTTATCTAGGTTGGGGTCCAACATTCTTGCCTAGGCACTTTTTTACTTGGGGGGGCGGATAGACTTCGAGAGCCAAAATCCCGGTTGTCCCGCTGTTCGCCCCTAGTAAGAGACGGCCTTTACTCTTCTTGGTCGGACATCGGGGGAAGCGAACAGCCGATTCGGCTCGCGATGCGTTAACAACGAGGAGAGGGTTTAAATGACGGGGAGGTCAAGCCAGAGAAAATTGAGAGTATGTATTGTATATCAGGAAGGAGATGGAATATCGAGAATACCATCCTGTGGCAACGAAGGCCTTGAGAACGGAAAATGATGCAAGCCCGCGCGTTCATTTTCAATCATATTCCCAGCGGTAACTGACAGTTATGTTGTTCATACAGCATTAAGGCCCGACAGAGGGCCGATAATGTTGTACATGTACAGTACATGTAGGTATTGATTCCAACCTTAACAGATTGAATCATTTGTTTAAATAGCTTATATGATTTGAAGTGAATTAGGAGTTGAGTTCTGCGCTCGGCTCTTCAGGAACAGGCATGCCAACTTTCTCTTTCAAAAAACTTATTTAACAATGTCATCAATCTCATCGGGATCCTTGTACCAATGTCCAAACCCTTCATTCAACCATCCAAGTGACGTCCACACCAAGCCTGTTGCGCAAAAAAATTCAACCATAGACCGGCCCAGTGTCACTGAGACCTTCTCATCCTCGAACCAATGGCCAAGGAATACAGGACTGGACTGACGATGCTGTACTCCAAGGGCCGGAAGCGCAGGGAGGTCAAGGATGTCGCGGATGTGGTTTGATTGCTTGTAGCTCTGTAGAATCGTTGTCTTCATTGTCGGATCCCTTGTCGGTCTTCCGGGGCGATTGAGCGAATGGATCCTGATCTGAAACATCTCCTGAACGAAACCGGTAGCCAGCCGCTCATTCCCACAAATGCTCCTACTATTTAAATAATAGGTTCCTCTCAGAGAGCTCTGCCGCGCTACCATCATATTCCCCAAATGGCCCAGAAAGGAACGTGAAAATCTCCGCTGCACAGCCTTGACTCAGGCCACCAAGGATTATCCTTCGATATCCATCGTCCCTTGGCCTGCAAACTCCTTTGCCTCTGTTTAAATCAGTTCACGTAAAAATGCTCCAGTTTGGCAAAGCCCGTCGATCTGGAGCTCCGATCTCGGGCCCGGATCTTCAAGAGAATAGTTATCGAACCACTGGTTGATTGGAATGTTCCTCACGACTGTTGATCGTCACTTCGAATTTTACGGTTGGTAGTCGAGTAGGTATTTAACTTCGCGGTTTTCACTAGCTCCAAGCCGAAGCGTTCAGCGTTGCTACTTCGACCATGGAGGAGGATGAAAGTGTGAGTATGTTCCGTGGGAGATAAAGGTGGGATAATTAAAGGTGCTGGATACGTTCTATTGTTAGATGGCATGGCTCAGGTAGGCTGATGATATTTACTGATGATATTTAGGTGGAAAAATTAATAGTGATACAAAGGGGCTTGCTGCTGAACAATAAACCATCAATTGTATGGGAAGGGGGAAATTAATCCTTCCAGCAAGGGTAGCAGGGTATGATTGAAGGTATTCCCTTCAAGCTACGTAGTACACCACCTAGAATATGAGGACCTGTGACAAGTCCCCTCGGCGCCGGCTTGAAACTATGCTTATCCTTCATCTCCTTGAGGGATATCGGCTGTTTGATCTCGTAGACAGTGACCATCTCGTAGGCGAACTCGTAGCCCTCCCAGTCCTTGTGCCTATTGTTAAATTCGACATTTCCCAGGCCATTCTCGTCTAGCGGGAGATCTCCTGGATTTCGTGTCCGTGCAGGCAGAGTCTCGCAGACGTGGGTGATGCTGGAGTGCAGAGCTGTCCGATAGAACCGGATTCTTTTCACACAAGGTTTTAAGGCAATATTTCCTGAACTCATAATTCTTCCTCCCATCGGGAAATCTGGGTCATGTAGGGGTCTTGCATCGTAAAATGACATCGCTGGAAATTGGGTGTTCGCCCAAAGCCTTTTTAACGCGTGGCATCAAGGAATCCTATTGGCGTCTGCGGTAAAGGTATGTATGCAAAGATGAGGGGGGGAAAAAGAGGGTTTCGGCTTGACGTGGAATGCGGGAAGCTAAGTAGGTCGGACTGGCTGGGAAGGGTGGAGGAATTGGAGCGCGGGATGTTGTTTGTTGTGGCTGTCAGTATGTTGGCTGACGATGCCGATGATTATTAGGGGGCGTCGTAGTGGCTTATAGGTGGGATTCGGGCGAAACAATTGACGACAGGCCCAACAGTTTGTTCCAATTCATGATGGGATAAGGGAAATACCGTCTGACTGTACTGAGGAAAAGAAAGGCAATCCTGTAATTTACGATGAGAATAACTAGCGCCTCTCAAGGAAAAGGTTCACAAAGTCCAGTGAAGAAGAGAGCAAACAAAACAGGGAAGGGAAAAGCAGGAGAACAAAAAGAATACAACTGCGAAGCGAACCTGTTCGCCATATAGAGAGCCAAAGAGAGAGGGAGAAAGATACGAGACCGACCGCAGAAAGCAACGGGAGAAAGGGAAGAACAGCGAGCAAATAAATAAGAACCTATGTTAGCGAGAAAGGAAAAAAAAAAAGGCCAAAACTATAACAAGCCCATCACAACTCTTCCAGTTCAACCGCCCTCTCGGACTTTCACACCCAAAACACCAGCTCAACCCGACTGCTGTAACAACACGATCATATAAGAGTGGAATAAGGCGATGCATACGGAGGTGCAACAAAGGACAAATGTCGCCACGCCATCGAGAAGTGTCCAAGAAAACAGACCCCGAGGAGAGAACGGAATACAGGATAAATAGCACATACAAAAACAATTGAGTACAACCCGCAGAATAAAAGACACCGCGACAATCAAAGGAGAGGGGAAGAAAAGGGGACGTAAAGAGATTGAAAAAAAAGAAAAAAAAAAAAAAAAAGAAACCAGAAGAAAAATCACAAGACTTTAAAAAAAGACGCGCGAAGATTCCGTCCGAAATAACATATGCAACACAAAAAGAAAACTACTCTGCATAAGCCCTTGAGTCTCATAAAATGTGAAAATAAAACCTTGGACCCGTCAAGTCGCCCTATCCCGATCTCTGTCCCGATCCCGATTCTTATCCCGATCCCGATCCCTATCCCTATCCCGCTGCGGCCCGAAATCTACTTCAACAACCTTCCCCTTTTTACTTTTGAAAGAAAACTCGGCCATTAGGGCAAGATGATCACTAGGGAAATGGTAGTTAGGGAATCCAGGAACTCGTTGCAGATACGACTTATCCACAGCGCCAAGCAATCCAGTTACCTGGAGAGCATTCGAAGTATACCAGATATAGTCGATCACATCAGCGAAGTCGGGGGTATAATTGGTGAAGTCAAGTTCTCCAATAGCGCCATAAGCGGATTTCAAGTTGAATGGGTAGGACATGCCGCGGCGACTGAGGTTACCATAGAGACGCTTCTCAAGATCCGGATGGTCTTCGATCAAATGGCCGCGGCTCATTAGCTCGTACACGGCAGATCCAGGGTAGGAATTAAAGTCGCCGCATATGATAAGGGGGATCTGAGAGCCGCTGCTATATTCGACTGAAGGCGCTGGTTCTACGGGCGTAGCAGTGCCATCACCATCGGCCGAATTTTCCGGCTCGGAGAATCGGAATGCAGTTTTATCTGTGCAAGCGGGGATCTTGGAATACTTTTCAGCAAGCTGTGTTACCTCTTCCATCAAAATTGCTGCCTGGATAAGCTTCACGTCCTTGTATGCTGGGTCCCAGTAGAGGTGAACGTTCACAACTATCAACCGCTCTCCGGACAATCGATTCTCCAAGTATGTGACCACAGCAATATTGTCCTTCTGCCATAATCGGTTATAGATGTCATCCTGGCCTTTGGCGTCAGGCCTGCGGACTGCAGTTTGGCCGAAATGGATCATATTCTTCTCGAGAAGAATGTATTTGCTGCCTTTGAAGAACGTTGCGCAGCCGTCGACGACCTTGGCTTCCTCTTCGGGCATGCCTTGCGCCCTTCCTTTTGGCCAGTAAACTCCCTTGTAGTCGTTGTACGCAAGTTGTTCTCTGAAGAAGCCATGGTAGCTGCCTTGGTCGATTTCCTGCAAACACACAATATCGGCATTGTACCCTTTTATTTCGTTTAGAATGAGGTCCCTGCGATATTCCCAAGCCAGCGCTCGAGAGGGCGCGTAGCCATGTTGTTGATGGGTTGCTGATCTATCACAGAGTGTATTGTAAGAAAGGGCAGTAAACTTGTCGATTTGACGCTTAGAAGGGTTTCTGCTCGAATCATCCAGGACAACCCAATCCCGTTCTGAAGGAGGCAAATGAACTACATAACATTAGTGATGACTATCGTCTAAATCAAACAAAGCATGTGACATACCCGGCATCTCCTCTTTAAGGTACGTAATGAGCGCCTTTGTGCCTTCCTGCATAATACGTGATTTAAACACATCGTTCAAGGGGTTTCCTTCTATACCTAGGGTATCAAGCTGATATAGATAGCCCATTTCGTATGGAAGCGAATGGAGATTATTGTCGAATAGCAACAGCTTCTTGAGGTTAATGAGCATGCCAATTTCTTCAGGGAGTTCCGTTAGCTCATTTCCGGATACGTCCAGGTGAGTGAGGCTTTTCAGCTGGCCGATGGTTGGCGGAAGGGTCTTCAATTTATTGTGATTGAGATAAAGTTTTTCCAGGAAAGTGTAGTTGAAAAGTGCAGGAGAGATTGCTCGGAGACCTTGTCCACCAAAATCAAGAGCCATCCAATCTTGTCTTCCAGGGGTGCCTTTGCTTGTTTTGGCACGATTGCGTTCTTCGGCGTCGTTTTCATTAGTCTCGGCTTGGTTTGTTGTGAGCTGTATGCCCTTCGTCTGTTGAGCAACGGCCCGTGCGTAATAGTGAGGGGAGTTTGCTTGTCTCGACTCTGCGGCAAGTTGTAGCTGCTGCTGCCAGTGTTCATTCATGGGTTCTTCTACTTCTTCATCCACGTTGGTTGTAGTACCGTTTGGAATGTGGGTCGGAGTAAAGTGGGGGGCCGTGCTTGACAGGGTTCCGGATGAGAAGTTATGCTGATGGCCGATAGCAGAGTGAGTAGTCTGAGAGTGAGGATGCTGGTGGTGGGGGTGCTGTTGGGCATGATGCGGGTGATGGCTTGGGTGTTGGAATTTCTGCATTGGCATTCCAAATCTCTGGTGAGTTTGCCCGCCATTCATCATCACATGCTGCCCTTGTGAATACATATTGTAAGGGTTATGACTGGGTGACTGGTTGAGCGGAGGGGAGCGAGACGGGGAAGGTGTGTCGGTATTGAATTTTAGTCTCCCAGTTGGAGATCCGGTTCCGTTTCGGACGAGGTGTCTTTGGTGTGCGTTGGTATGGTTGTGCTGCTGTGTTTGTTGCTGGAAGTAGAACTGCCCTGCCACAGGCTGCTGGAACCGGTAGGTACCATCTGCCATTTAACGTGGCAGACGAGACCGTAGGTGTAATTCGAGGGGAGGGGGGTTATCTCGCGGAGACTGAAGAAGCGAGAGGACAGGCAGCGGGTTCAAGGGAGTGAGAGGGCGGACTCGTTCTCTCCGTCTCTTCAACATGGGGCCCGAAGCGGAACCACCAGGAAACGTCGACAGCTCAAATATGAACTCGACTCCAAGCACCTCGACAGTACTGCAGTCAGCTGTGACAATCTTCGCGTCGAGGAGCGTATATCCCACGGCGACCTGTGGATAATAGAGAACCGTGCCGGTGGGAAGCTGTTAGGCAAGGCGATGAGCCAACGCGGTTTCAAACGGGGCACAGGCTTCGCGGCAAAGCGGAATATCAATCCCTGATCGCAGTCAGGGAATACAGCAAGAGTTCTAGCGCTAAGAATAGCGGGGTTCCTTTGTCGGATGTAGAGGCTGGATGTGATTGCGCTTCGATATGTGCTGCTGGACCCATGCGAAGCGGTTTGTAGAGGCGGGAGAAGACATTGTGGTCACATGACTCGCACCAATCATATCAAGTCACGTGTAGTCCCAATCATTGGCCAGCGCAACTCCAGCCCTATCCAGCGCTGGTTTTCGCAAAACTCTTAGGCGAACATATTCTGCGATTTCTGCTTACCCCTCGCACCCGCGAACTTCCAGGACGTGAGCATGAGCATAGCCTCACTAAATCATGGCCGAAACTTGGCTTCACAATTGCAACAGCTTCCAAACTCCTCCTCCGCCATTTTACATAAGAAATTGGAAGGGGTAGCGGAATAAGCGTTTGCCATAAACCTTCATTGTCCGCGTCGCGTTCATAGATCTGCTAGTATATATAGCCCTCGAATTAGCAATTCATAACATCTTGGATAGTTGGCTATAGCCCCCGCCTTTCAATCGTTAAAATGGCTTCAACTTGCGCATCTAATCCTCCCCCTCTCGCTCATACAATCTCTAATTGAAGTTGATACTTCAACAGGAAACAGGCGGCGGGATGGTATCGTGAACTTTTTATATCCTACCTGTTCATATACCTACAAAATATTCACTATTGCGCCCAGCCGGAGGCACACCTCTCTGTTTCAACTACGCCAAACGAAGCGCAACACCTTCCAGGCGCAAGCACAGTGCTTCTACACAACTGGCTGGCCTTAAGACATTTGCACAAAATCCTTCGGCGGTTCTCACAGATTAAATCTTTCTGCTTGGACACCTTCTTATTACTCATTAGTTTTATATAATCACTAGATTCGTTGACTTGCGACGATCAAAGCCTTTCTATTCAAGTATTATCCGGTTCACTTTCGACCTTGGACGAACGTTGGGGATGGACAGAACAACAATGGACTAATAGTGCTTGCCCAAGCACGCTAAAGCTGTTGTCTGGAGGCGACATACATTTGAGGTTGATCATGGATCTGGTCTATATTCAAGAACAGCTCGAGGCAAACAAACATCTCTACATCAAGGGTTTGATAACTGGGTACGCTCAGGATGTTCTAAGATGGCCCGGTTACTGATTGAATGTTGAGAATGGGAAATGGGCATCTGCGCTACCTAATGCGGTTACGGGGCGCGAGGAAAGTTATAAAAGGACAGACAAAACAGATATAGGATACATCAATTGTGGGTGTCTTGTAGCAGAAAGGTGGTGGTTTAGGATCCATGATGAGATAGAGGATGAGAGGGACCTAATGCAGTTGGCTGGAAGACGCAACTGGTTATTACACGAGGGGAAGTGGATGGAAAGATGAATAAGGCATTGTTACTGAAAATACCCAAGTCGTTAAATAGTCGTGCCTAGGAAAAGGAAGCAAGGAAGTCAATAACTACCATAGTAAATCATATGAGCTCAAAGCACATTTCATGGACTTGCAGGTTCTATAATTTCTCGTAGAAACCATTATCTTGCCTGGCACATGGGCTTACTTGGAGAGGATCTGCGGAAGGCAAGTTAGCAGTGTTAAATTGCCCATCGGCTAACTCCCCTACCCAAGTTGTCATGGATATTTGCTCTGCGTGCTATGGCTTGCGAGGACTCTTATAGTAAGGGGGTTAGTTGCCTTCACCGTCATCAACAGGAGAGGGAAAAAATACGGCCATCACGTTGTGAAAAGATGAGTGAAAAATGAGTGCAAGTTTCCTCCGTTGGCTAATGCTATGTATGTTGTCCTTCCCTCTCCCCCACAATGGTCATCATTCCCTGAATCTGAATTCCACCTAACTCTTGTAGGTGCTTGAAATCATATTCCGCAGATATCAAACCGTAGGTCATCTGGTGTGTGGTCAATCTATAATGTGGGGTTACAGGGTATGAATGATGAGATCAAGGGCTATTAAGTCCTTCACAATTAAAACACTCAATTCCCTTTGAAGAGGCCACTTGAACGCCATTCAAGAAGTGATATTCTCCTGTCATCCTTGCGTGTAGGGGGCAAATGCCGGGTGGGCGCCAGGACGAGGAATCGAGGGCGATTGAAAATGGAAATGAGGGATAGATAGAGTAGTTCTTGGGAGATCATCATATCTGGTGTACTTCCCCTAATTCTCGGAGATTTCGGAGCTGAAACAAAGGAATAATGAAAGGAAAGAGGAAAGAAAGAAACAAATAAAAAATAATACTAAAATAACAACAACAACAACAACAACAATAATAATTAATTTGTAGTAGCTTCTCTCAAGACAAGACACATCCGTCTCGCGTAGAATCTCTAGCAATTTAGTAGAGTACCAGATGTTATCTAGGTATTCCGTAGCAACTTTCCCATTGAGAGGAAGCTAGAGCCGTTTATTATCCTTCCAGGTTACCCAGTCTAAAAAGGGACGAGATATTTATATCAGATTTGGAGTGGCGTCCTTCTCCTGGAAATACACAAGTAATGACCTTTCCATCTTCATCGTAGGTTACGCAACCAATGCGCAACTTGGAGTATGGATCATGCGGGAGATTGTGGATTTTCTTCATCAATTGATTAGAGTCAGGATTCCACAACCGGGCTTCCTTTGGTTCGATGGCCGCAAGTACTTTTTCATCAGCGGAAAACGCCAGAGTACATACAGTACCTTTCGCCCAAAATCTCACCCAAGGAAATCTTCGTGTACTCCCTGCCAGGCTCCCAAAGACTGACAAACAGGGTACGACCACTTGGACACGCGTCGTCATTTGTTGTCAAAAGAGCAACGAACCGGCCCGTTGAAGAAATTACAAATGAAGGAATCTCGAAAATATCACCGAAACCACTCACGGGAATTTGCGTTCACATCCCAGGGCTTGATCGATCTCCCAATAAGAATGGCCAACGTTCAGCTATCAGATGAAAATAACATGCTAATAAGGTCACGACGAGAAAACCTGTAAGCTTCGCGCATATGCAATGCACCTGTCTTTGTTTCCCATATCAGAAGAAAGACCACATCGTATGGATGATCGTATTTTATCGTGGACGAAGTGTGTGCAAGAAACTTGCCATCGGGTGAGAAATTCAGCTCCGGCATTGGTAGAGAGGCATCCTGGCTATTTCCCGCCAATTTTATTTCTAGGTCCCATAATGTAGTGTGAAGACTTGATACTGAAGCAAGGTACTTACTATCTCGTGAGAATCGGACAAGATAAATTTTCTACATGAGCCCGGAGGAATTGCGTAGTGCCTTGCTGGCCAAATCCCAAACTTTAATTGTCCCATTCATCTGAAGCAGATGCGGAAAATTGGCCGTCGGGCGAAAACTGTATGTCAACAATATCGCCCTCATCGTGCTACCCAAGGTTTGCAAGGCATATTCTTGTTGACACGTCCCAGAGTCTAATCAAGCCTTTATCGAGACCAGGTGCGAGCAGTTGCCCATTAGGAGCAAAGTTTATCGCCGAAACCCCTGTTCGTGGCCCTCAAGTGCAAACAATTTGTCTGTTTCTGGATCCCAGAGCAGTATGGTCGTATCTATCGACCCTAACGCAAGAAGTTGGTCAACTGGAGAAAATTGTATAACAATATTACGATCCGAGTGGCCGTTGAAAGTCCGACTAAGATTTCCAGTGCAAAGGTCCCAAATCTGAATTTTGTCCACTTGAAGATGCTAGATGTTTGCCGTTTAGGGAAATAGATATTAGTCTTGGATTCTCCAAACATCCTGCCAAAGTCGCCTGAAAAGCCTCGGTCTTTGGATCCCACAGTCGAATAGTCTTATCGTCCAAAGCAGTTGCAAGCAATTCGCTATTCAGTGAAAACTCCGATGCTACAACTCGTAAACCTTCTTCGAGATGGATACGGTATCTATCACGTGTGTCAATGTTCCAGATTGAGTATCATCCCGATTGAGACCTGGGTTGACGTGAATAACAAAAGACGAATTGGCCATCCGGCAAGGTTGAGACATGCCAGTCATTGTAGGGATGCGTACGGGGTTTCGAGGATTTCTCGTAGAACCCCCGTTTTAAAGTGGTATAAATTTAAATTCCCGCCCATATCGGTAGAAACCAAATATCGGCCATCCCTAGAAAACACAGCTAGCTGCCCCTCGCCATATGACGACGCAATGGAATAAAATAAAGCGCTCCAATCAGCCGCAGGGGCGCACCTTGACTTGATCCAGGCTGGGATACAATTAATATGAATATCCCTAATGATGCTATTTTTGGGCTGAAGAGAAGTCCAGAGATATCACTTGGAGCGGCGCCTGCTCGAGCATAGGCATAAAGTAAAGCGTAAACCGTTTCGCATCGTGAACGATCTATACAAGGGTTCGGGCTTGTGCTACAAAGAAAAGTAATATATTATACACTTAGCATAGATTGACATTCAAAAGCCGAATCAATGGCTTCTCACCTGAATCGAGGACAGTCTGTTGGAAAACTCTGCAATCATATTAACACCCTCGCCTATTTTGCCAAGAAGGCTAAGAGCCTCAAGCCAGTGGAGGACGTGCCCTCAGAAACGTGTATATCGTTTCGTCCATGAAGGCAGTAACGTCGGTCGCCAGTAAATGATTGATCCAATAACAGCACGCATATTGAACGTGGTTGGGGATGTGCTTTGCTACTGTCGATTGTTCGACCTCCCTTGCAAGAGTTCCCGGTAATTTTAAATCACGAATATCTTTTGTCAAGATATTCGACATCAACTCTAGGCAGGCACCTCTCTGTGAGCTTGGCGTGGGTTATGTTGCGATCAATCAAGAATTCCGTCGGACATCTTTCAGGGTCAGACAAGAATTCAGGAAATGAAAGATGCAGCGTTTGAATAGGCTCCTCTTCAGAGTTGGGGACCAACAAAAGCGAATGAAGATCTCTCAGCACATCATTAATTTCCTCCTTCGGCACCGACAAAAGTACACTTAGAGCATCAATAGAAAGAAGACTAAACAACAATATGACCGGTCCGAGAACTCGTCGGAACAGACCGCATATTTCTGCTTTCTCTTTTTCAATTTTATTGGAGACAGAAAATTTTAGGATCTGAGTGTATATACTATCAATATTCCGTTGCGGAGAGGTTTTATCGACATCATCGATAAGAATCGTATCTAGTCGTAGGTCTGCCAATCTTTCTGAAGCTGCCGCTGCGAGAAATCGGCAAGCTGTGGCAGCGTAGATGAATAGTCCATCGGTTTTAAGATGAGTTTCTTGACACGCTCCTTCCCCGGCCAGTTGTCTTGAAGTAGTATTTCCTCCCTCATAAGAGCAAGCTCGTGCTCAAAAAGCTTGGTGATATCATCCTTATCTTCTTGGATGTCTGAGGGCTTGATTTTGTGCAGATCTTCATCGCGATGATACGCATCAGGCATTCGGCTGAATCTGGACCTGAGTAGCTTTTCTGGTCTACTGGTCATAAAAACCCGTAGTTTTATGGTCCTGAGATCCCTCAACTGGCTAAAAAGTGGAAGTACCTCCCTTAGGTCGTCATCGCCTTCGCACTCGTCAAGTGCATCAATGACAAACACTAGCACGAAAGGCGGATACAGACCCTCACGTTAAGTGTCGTCAAGACTCACGAGTGGTTGGAAAATAAGATGTTCGCATTGCTCAGATAGGGATTTCCCGGCAATATCTCTCCTCTTCACGATTACAGCACAGACATGCGGCCGGAGGCCGGGTAATACTTCCGTCAGCTGGGATGAAAGCGTGGTGAAGAGCTGAGCCGCATTTGTCAAATTAGCTCGTCATTTTGAGAAAAAGAAGCTACCGCCAAGTCGGCCCTCTGAAGCCAATTTGCCGGCGACTGTGCGAGCAATCATCAACTTCCCGGTACCGGGCATCCCTTTCAACCAGAATATACACTTATAGTCATGTAGAGCGTTGCTCCACCGCTGTACTAAATTGGGGGTATCAATCCGAGTGCCTTGAAGGCATGTTCGATGCAGGCTTGTGGTTTCTCCTTGTGCCTTAGAAGAATCAAAGGCTGCGAAAATTGCTCGGGGCAACTCTTTCAGTAATGAGTCTTGACTTATTCCCTAAGTGTAAAAGAGCAACGAGTATCTAGACCGTCAAATAACTAAGGGAGTCGCTTACCTCGATATCCTGTTCAATTTCCTTTAGCGAAGACAAGGACTGTTCCGCCGACTCTTCGAGTTTGTCAAATCCGTTTGCGATAGAATTGCGATATCTTCGCTCAAATCTTGGTGGATGTTATCCGACGCATTTTCCAGATCTGTAGTCATGCTTTTCCAATCGTTGGAAATAGCAATATCGCCTAAAGAACGGAGAAAACACCCACGGTCATAATGTATGGCTAGCTGGATCTGATATTGCAAGATATCAGAATACAACTGGACAGTCCTAGCTTTTATAGCGCTATGAAGTTCTCCAAGGTTTTTCGATTCGCTACACCCATATCAGCACATCTCATTTTCCAGAGGCTGCCTAGAACACTCCAGACAAGAAAGGAAGAGGGTGCCCATACCTTTGAGATTGAAGGCCCTGCACAGGTTCGCGAAACCTTCTACGTATGACATCCTCTCGGACCTTGCAGCGGACAAGAAGCTCTGAAATAAACTCTAACCCATCCATAGCCTCACCATCTTGCGTGATTGCGTTCATGACGACCTCAATCCCTCCTTGTCAGCACTGAACGGCGGGAAGCTGCTACGGCGAGCACTCACAGGAAGGATAACGAAGACGCCCGCCCAGGCAAAAGCAGCAGGAGGCATTGAACTCACTGCCACATTGACTAAACTACTGACCGATTGAAGGCCGCGCATAATGTTGCAAACTTGATCCGTCACGACAACTCTTTCGACAACTATCTCACCATTGATCTTTTTTGCGTACACAGGAATGGTCAATCTTGTTTCTTTCATGCGATTGAGCTTGTGTCGAAGTAGCTTCTAGAACTGTTCCTGCCCGGCCGCATCACAAAGGTCATCCACTATCAAGTATATCAGCACGAAATCCTCGATATTTGATGGTTACATACCTTGTGATTGGTCTTCCTTCTTTAACAAGTAATTATGGTAATCAACTACCAAATCATTTTTCTGATCGAGAAGATTGGCATAAGCTTTATCCCAGAGATTTTCCGGCCAGGGCACCTGGTGACTCAAGGTAGCAAGTAGCGTGTTCGATTGTTCAGGGAGTGTCTGAACAGATCCGGTTGATGCAATCTTACTATCATCGCCCTTGGGAGATGGAGAGGAAGAATGGCCATCGCTCGAAGAGTCCAACGAGTTTACTATGACCTCCCTCCGTCCTCAGCGGCAGATTTCCTCACAGGGTGGACACCAGTGCCTAAGTGACTATTGACTCGCTTCTTCCTCTCTTTGGCTTTTTTTCCCACGAATCCATTCTTTGGCTCTAGCCTTCAGCCGTTTTCCTCGACTAGTAACGGGCGGACTGGCTTCCATGTGTGGAAGAGTAGCTGGGAGGAAAGCTTATAAGATATCTTAAATAGGGCTCTAAATTAACAAATCCCCAAGAGCCGACCCAGAACATAAGGTGGAAATGTGCGTTGAAAGTGGGTGCAGAAATCTGGGTCTGAAAAGTGGCATCAGGCTGGCGGAACGAAATTTGCTTGACTGAGTTGTCAGGGCGGGATCTCCGCAAGGGACATGGGGGTATGCATGATACGGTACGCAACTAGGAGAGAATATAGTATGGGGGTATCAAGCACCAGTGTGGGGGCTGTGGATGGACAAAAGCGCATTTCTCCAGATACACACGTAAAGATGCCTGTCGAATTTCGCCTTAAGCGAGTCAGTCTGTAGAAGAACGGTAAAACATCATTTCTATCGAAGTGATTTCTCGATCAGCCACTAGAGAGAGTGAGTGCGCTTGGCACGGTTATCTTGTAACCGATATACAATTTTGATATAGATAATAACTAACTATCCACGGATGAGCCCGATATCTGATACGTTTGGGTCCAGGTCTGAGAAGGAGTGAGCGTAAGGTCAAACACCTTCCTAGGTAAGGGTGTCCTCCGTAAAGTGGGGCGGGAAAACCGTCCTTGAAGCATCCTAGGCAATATCTGGAGGTTTGAGACCCGGCCCAGGGATACAAAAGAAATCAACGAATGAAAGGCGTGTGAGAGGAGAGGGTGCAGCTGTTGGACAAGCGCACCCAGAGGAGGCACGGGCAGAAAAAGGAAAGTTGATGATGCATGGCTCATTGGAGTCGTCGCCTCGCGCCTGTCGAGGTCGCCATGGATCACACCGCTGATATGATTCGGTATGGGGTGTTTCCAGATCTGCTCTTTGGAGATTCGATGGATTCGGGACTCGGGATCTGTAGCGAGCGTTTGGGCGCCTCTGACAGTGCGTCCCGTCCCTCGTGAATGGGTGCAAGTTCGAATTCGAATATAGTCTCTTCTACGTTGTAGCCGGACTGGTGGAGGGGAGAATGGCGCGCATGTCTTAATCCCTTAAATTCTCTCTTACTCCGTATTGTTATTTCTAATGAAAACGTGGGTATTCTCTCATTATTGCGAATAATATGTGACGAGCGTAACACCCAACCAGGCACAGAGACCAAGAGCCGGCGTGGGAAATTTTCGAAAGGTGAAATAGCAAGCAGTGGCTGCGGCGGTTTGCCTTGGCCTCCCATTAGTTAGTTGATTGGATTGGACGTAATGGCTGGCGTGCTTATCGATCTCACCTCCATGTTACCAGGGTGGGTAACATTCATTCAACTATTTATCCCCCGAAGCCCTGGAACCGTCCCCCGCGATTGGGCCAGTGGTGGCTTCGACTGTGGTATCTCGATCAACTCTGAGGCTCAAATAGTCCGATTAGCATCGTGTTTAAAACGAAAACCTTGTCCCTCCTTAAGAACTCCCAACTCTCTCTCCACCTCTTCTTCGTCCTCTTCTTCTCCTGCGGAAGTCGTTATTTCCATCCTCCCTCCCTCTCTTGTACGCACGCTCTACCCCTCTAACGTCGCTGCGGAATTGAGAGCACATAATGAACAACCTCTCCCACCCGCCTTCAAGCCCCAGCAGCGATTCGACCAGCCTAGATAGCCAGGGGTGAAATCTTAAATGTCATTAGGCAAATAACTCCACTCCGTATCCCCATTACCCGAGTCAGGCTTTTCGAGTGTGCTGCTTCATTGCTTGCTGCTTCGTTGCTTTCGTTGCTCCGTTGCTTCCCTCCGTAATATGTCTCAATACGGGGCACATACACATGAAAAATTACACCGCGTGAGACCGGAAAATTTCAGCACCATGGCCGGGTCTGCTAACTTATCCTACCTCTTCATTCCCACCTCGCCTTTGGCTTACGATCCCAAACACAATGCCTACCAGCGGTCCGCTAGCAATTCTGTCTCTCAAGGATCCGCAATGCCCGCGACTTCTTCCTCTTCCGCCTCCTCTTCCATTGACTACACAACCTACCCGCTCGCCAAGCGCAATGGCCGCACGTATCTACGTGACCCGGATAACCCGTACCCACTTCCCTGCGACCTCGCAGAGATACATCGCCAGTCACTGCGCTCGCTGATTTTGATGCATGTTTTCGGCGCACCCTTTTGCACACCCCATTTTACCGATCAGCCCCCGAAAAGGGTGTTGGAGCTGGCTTGCGGTTCCGCGTTATGGTCAAACGCTTGCCATGACTACTTTGCTCGGAAAGGACACAAAAATATTTCCTTCACTGGTCTCGATATTGTAAACCTCGCGCCAGACCTTCAGAAACAAGGCATTAATTGGCAGTTCAAACGGCACGACCTACGCAAGCCTAAATTACCGTTCCCCGATGGCTACTTTGATTTTGTGTTCATAAAAGATGCTGGGATTTGTCCGTCAGGATCAGAGTTGCAAACGCTTCCGTTAAGTGAACCACTTCGGGTTCTGAAGTCTGGCGGAGTTCTTGAAGTGTGGGATTCAGATCTTATATTTAGAACGCTTTTGCCAAACCCGCCACTTGCGCCCGGGCTATCGGGGGAAAATGCGGAACAGGCTGAGACCACCGGCACATACACCATATTCCCGGCTACCCCATTTGCAGATGCTCAGAACAAATATTTACGCGATTACAACTCCTGGGCCCAAAAGGCTTTTGAACGCCGCAAATTAACGCCCATGCCATGCGCCATGATTGGCCTTTCCTTCACTTCCGAGTCGGAATCCTTCAACAGCGTGGACAGTCGTAGGATAGCAATTCCTTTGGGGGAAGTTAGATGGGAGCGAGAGCCGCAGGATGGCGCATCCAATGGCTGGAAACAGCCCAAGGCACTGTCGGCAGATCAGCTCGCACTGCGCCAGACCGCGCTTTATACAATTGTTCAGATGATCGAGAGTATGGAGCCCATGCTCATGGAAGCTAGTGGCAAAGGCAGAGACGAATGGGATCGATGGTGGACTGGAATGACAACGGACCTACTGCAGAAAGGTGGTGTGGCCAGTGGCGAATGTCTCGAAGTCGGAGCATGGTGGGGGCAAAAACGATAACTACGCTTCTCAAATTTCCCAATTGATTGTATCTAGACGGCGAGATACTATATATCCTCGAGAAACGACAGATGACCTTTTCTCACTTCGAGTCGTCCTGAAACCCTTGGCCAGCATCTTCGTTTTGCCCGTTCTCCCCCCAATCTCCCCACCACCGGCTCATTGTTCGATAGGTATTTTGGGTGTATCGTATCGATTCTTGAGGGCGCGATATCGTCTCAGATAATATCTGCATTTTGCCCTTGTTAGCTCTCCTCCTTCTCCTTCCTCATTCCTCCCTGCGCGCCCTCCCAGTTTTCAATTTTATTCGCAGAACCTGGGCTTTTGTTTTCACAGCCCCATCGCAAACCAATATACCCAGACCAACAGATAACATCGACAGATGTCGACACGACGAAATGACATTTTAACATGGTGTATGAACAATGGAAGCAAGCGGCGCCTATTCATGGGAGACTTCTCTTTGCACCACCCCTTTTTGGCAACTTTCTCTTCGTTTTCTCCAACCTCTACTTCATCTTGGAACATATTTTGTCCCCTTTCTTTCATTTTGACTTCTGGGGTAGTCATATCTGTACATTTCTTTCTGCCTCCTCTTGTTTTTGATAGTCATGATTCGTTGTACATGAAGCATTCATCTCAGTGTATAAAATGGGGTAGTCGCAGGGGAATTAATTTAAATGAGTGCTCATTCTTCAATTGCCAACCACCGGTTCACAATTCAAAATAAAATAGCAGAAAGAACACACACGAAAGCCACAAGGAAAAGAACTTACAATGCCTCAATCTCTATAAAACCATCCGGAATCCGTTGAGGTCGTGGCTCATCACTGTCAGCGTGCCATCCTTGAGAAGGAAATTACAAGTACAGACTACAACCTCGCCATCAAGCTTCCAAACTCCTTCCCAGAGGCCGGCCCCCCCACGCCTAAAAAGCATGAGCGAGCCCCAAGCATTCCACGACTCAGCATATCCCAGCGGAGAGGAGTAAACATTTTCAAACCCCGGGGTTCTGATCTTAGTCACACTCCTTCCCGGGGAATGTATGCCGAAAGGGTCCAATAACTCAATAGAGAACACAGAGCAAAGTGCTCACCTTTCTTGACAAACTCCGCCCTCCGTATCCCGTCTATGATTTTCCCCTCATCAGTGATGTGAGCCTGACTCGCGAAAGCGCGGTGTAAGCGTTCGCGGAAGAATTGGTAGCCGAGAGGGTATTCACGGCCGAGGAAGAGGAGCTCTGTATCGCGCCGGAGGAGCGGGTAACAGTCAGCTAATGATTAGATAGTGACTAATGGTGGGGTGGCATTGGAGGAACGGGATTAGGCGACGAATATGGTGTTGGGGGTCCCGCGGTTGGTCGGCCCTTCTACCAGCAGGCGCTGGTGGTGATTGAGCTCTTTTGCCCCAGTAGCCTACAGGTTATGAGACCATTAAGCGTGAGCCCCGCTGTGGTCAACATGCATGGGTTTGATCCCAGAATGGACTTAAAAATTCCTAACAAATATCCTTGGACATTTTAACAGTGTCAAGAGACATCCCAGGAGTGTGCCCTAGAAGTCCCGTGAGCCCTAGGACTGAGTGGTCCAGTCCATTATTAAAAGGAGCCATTGTGGGGAGCCACTGAAGGGAGCCACTGAGGGGAAGTACTGTACTCTGTGGTAGCTGGTCCGAGGGGGGGTGTTGGGGGTCCCGCGGTTGGTCGGCCCTTCTACCAGCAGGCGCTGGTGGTGATTGAGCTCTTTTGCCCCAGTAGCCTACATATGGTATGTCGTCTTAAGTGTAAGTTCTGTTTTTATTTATGTTTCCTTTTCTCCTCTGCTGGCGTACCTTTGTAGATCCGGATGACTTGGTGTCGGAGATGGGGAGGAGTCATCGTGAGGGATAGGGAGGGAAGGCTGGGAGGTATATTCCTAGCTCCAATTGTTATGAAATTCTAACCGGGAGGAGTAAGAAAAAAAGAGACGTTTCATATATCTACGTCTCCTCCACCCCAGAATTGGCATGAGGAGCTTGAGAGTGTAGGAAGCCCTAGGCTTCCTAGTACGGACTAGCGCGCCCGCTCCTTGACATCATTTTCAACCTATCTCTCTTCTCTCTATATATTATAGAAAAACCAACTTTTCCGAGTAAAATGCCCTGTAACGTAACCTCACGTGACATCACATGCACCCCATCAAAAATCCATGGATATGTAGTGGCGCCTGTCAATTGCATCACTCTATCTACTCTCTATCATTATCACTGTCTCTAACACTCTGTAACACTCTCTATCACTTTCACTTCATATCTCTATTCTCATCTTATCACTCACTCTTATCATCTCTATCACCTCTATCATCTTTACTCTCTCTATCATTATCACTGTCTCTACTGTCTCGCAGCACTCTCTATCACTTTCACTCTCTATCTCTACTCTCATCTTATCATTCTATCTCTCTCTTATCATCTCTATCATCTCTCTCATTTCTATCATCTCTATTATCTCTCTCTGTCATCTTTTTCACTCTCTAGCCTCTTTATCATTATTATTATCTTTACTACTCTACAGTCTCTTCTATTACTTTCACTATCTCTACTTCTCTCTTACTATCTCTATCATATTTTAATCTCTGTATTTATAGTATATACTGCTAAATACTCTGTAATAAAATCTCATGTGATGTCATATATATCTCTTTGAATTCATAAATAAGATTGAATAGCTGACTCTGCAATCTGTACAGCTCTGATTAATCTGATAATAGTGATAGAGATAATACAGAGTCAAAGAGAGTAGTAGAAGAAGTAGAGATGATAATAATAATAATAATGAGAGAGTAGAGAGTGAAAGAGATGACAAGAGTGATAATAGTGAGTAGAGATAGAGAATGAAAGTAATAAAGAAGATTGTGAGATAATAGAGATGATAATGATAATAGAGAAGAATTACAGAGTAGTAGAGACAGTGATAATGATAGAGAGAGTAGAGAGTGAAAGAGATGAAAGAGATGAAAGAGATGAAAGAAGTGATAAGAGATAATAAGAGAGAGATAGAGAGTGATCTGAAGAGAGAGTAAAAGTGATAGAGAGACAGTGAGGTGATAGAGACGGTAATGATAATAGAGAAGATGAAGAGTAAGAGATAAAAGAGATAGAAGAGGTGATAGAAGTAATACAGAGTGATACGGAGTGAAAGAGAGTAATAGAGAAAGAGAGTGATAGAAGTGATAGAGAGAGTAATGATAGAGATGATAGAAGTGATAGAGATGATAGAGATAATAGAGATAATAGAGATGATAGAGATAATAGAAGTGATAGAGATAATAGAGATAATAGAGATGATAGAGATGATAGAGATAATAGAGATAATAGAGATGATAGAGATGATAGAGATGATAGAAGTGATAGAGATAATAGAAGTGATAGAGATAATAGAGATGATAGAGGTGATAGAGATAATAGAGATGATAGAGATGATGATGATGATAGAGACGGTAGAGAATAAGAGATGAAAGAGAAACCGCTCCACCACGAACTCGCTCGATTTTTCGAATAAGAACCCGCTGATAGATCCATCGAAAAGCCCTCGATCATATGAGCATTTTGACCCCATCGCCGACTGCATACCCTGCGTGGTGGTGGAGTTATCCAGCTAAATGTGAACCAGACATCATTCGGAACTCCTGCGTGGGATTATCCCCCATTCTCCCCTATCACACCACAACCCCAGGCCAAATTGCCATACAAATTGTAAGGTGAAGAGACCTAGCTGCATGCACCAATCTTCTCAATTTTGAAAGATCCCTGATCTGTAGTTGTGGAGATATCTGAGAAGTGACCTCCGCGAAAACCCTGTCCATCTTTAATGTTTCAAAACACCAACACCAAGTCCCACCCTTGTATCATCCTTCCCAATCTGGCCCATCCCTGGCAGAAAAATACAAAATGATATCTCAGTGATAATATCAAGCACATAATCAATGAACAATGAGTCAACAGCATATCAACAACTATAAAATCAGTATATCTCAAGATCTGACTGAGCCTTTAATCTCTGCACAGTGAGATATATTAAATCTAGTTTTAATATCTCAATATTCAATAGATTTTGTAAGAGATTGAGAATAGCAACACTAGATTTCTATTGAATTTGAGAATTAACTCTATATTAATATAATCATTGATAAAGTCTTCTATTTTAAAATATAAATAACCAGTTTCTCTACATCCCGCTGACAATATTTATATTATTATATAGAAACAGACTTATATTCTCTATAATATCAAGACTTTGAAGAGAGAAAGTCTTGATAGAGAGTATACAGTAGTATATATCTTAGCAGTTTCTATCTCATTCTTCTACAGCAGTCAATGCATAAAAAAAAAAAAGATCTTAGAAATAGTTTTTTACTTCTCTTGAAAAAGTAAGATGTTTTTCTCTGAGTTTTATACAATATTCTTACAAAGAATTAAAAACAGAGCTGTTTTCTATCATAATTTCATATTCTTTTAAGTAAGAATTACTTTTTCAGTGACTGAAGAGCTTTTATTAATACTTAATTCTTTTTTACACTCTTTATTAACTGATTTGAGTTGCACACTTGTTGTGTGAGAAGAATTGAATAATTTAGAATAAAATTAAATAGTTTTAATCAATTTCTCTGCAAAAAATTGATTTATTTTTTGTCAGTTTTTCTCTTAAAAACTGTCATATTATCTGATTTATTATCAATTGATATCATACTTTTTCTCACTGTATCTCAAGAAAGAGATTATAAAGATTTTATTGATTTATCTCAAAAATCAATTTTAGTTTATTAGATTCTCTTCAAAAATCTAATCTAGTTACTGAACTAGTGTGAAAAAAATCAGATGTTTTATACATAAAAGTCTTTTATTCTTCTTTTGAAACAGTCTGATCAACTTTTCAATTGAAAACAGACTTAGAAATATCTCAATTGAAACAGTCTGACCAACTTTTCATTGAGTGAAAATAATGAGTTCAAAAATACACTCAGTTGATGTGAAAAAAGATGCTTTCTTAAATACTATTTCTGAGATTGAAATTCTGAAGAGAAGAAAGAAAGAAGAAATAGAGAAATAACAAGTTCTTGAAATATAGAAACTTGAAAAAGTAAGTAAGATTCTTGAAAAACAGTGTCTGAGTGAGATGAATGAAGAAGTTCTATTAATTTCTCATACTCAGACTAGATAACTACAGAAGATGATCAAGTTCAAACTTGGAATCTCAAACACAGTTCAAAAAACCTTGAAAATTTCTAGTACAATCACTAACTCTTCATCTTGCTCTTCTTCTTTCTTTTTTTCTACTTCTTCTTCTTCTTTAAATCAGAAGAAAATATATGCTTAAGCAGCTGAATCTGCTGTCTCTAAACCTGCTGTCTCAAAGTCTGCTCAAAATCCTGAGAAAACTGAGAAGAATACTGCTCATGTCTCTATTCATAGAAAAGTGAAAAAGAAAATGTAAAAAGAGAAAAACTTTCAAATCTTCAGAAATAGAAGACTTATTCTCAAAGTCTCAAATCAGGACATTCTGTAAAGAAACAAGTTAAACTCAAATCTCATTTTCAGAATCAGAAATGAAATTAATCAGTAGTTCTTTTCTCAGTTGATAACTGATATCAAAGTTCAAAAATCAGTTATAGCTTCAATTGAGTCATTATTCTTTGAAAACTTCATTATTCTGACTACAATGCCTGAATTCAGTGCTGAATTCCTTATTCAGAATGAGAATCTCTGAAAGTCAGCAGTAGAATCTTTGTTAAATACAACAATTCTATCTGAAAGAGATGAAAAGTGAGACAAATTCATTCTTTATAATATTTCAGTTGAAATTTTTGACTGTGAAGAAGAAATGCTACTTCTTAAAAATGAATTGAAAGAATACAACTCTATTCAACTGAGAAAGAAGTCTGTATGACTAAATTCAATTGAGTTCAGATAAAGCAGAAGAAATGTCTCTGTTCTAGTATATATAAAAACACTTGAACAGTCAAAGATCTCTGAAGTAAGAGTAGCAGGTTTGAAAATGAGAGTTCATGAATACAAAGACTCAAGAATGAACCTCAAAGCTCAAACACAGTGTTCAAACTGTCAAAGATATAGATACTTTGTAATCTTATGTTTTAGAGACTTAAAATGTACATTCTGTGTCAGAGATCACAAAACTAGTGAGCATAAATGTGAAATATGCTTAAAAAGAGATAAAATTTGTCAACATACTCTGCTTAAGTGCTCTAATTGCAAAGAAAAACATGCATCTAGCTCAAAAGAATGTATATTTACTTCTAGAACTCAAAAGAACTGAAGAAAAGATGAAGCTCAAAGTCAATCTAGAACTGAAGAGAAGAGTCAAGCCAGTAAACTTATAACTACAAGCTCAAAAAGAAGAAACTCTCAACTATCTAAGTCTTCAAACCTCAATTCTTCAGCTAAATGTAAATAGAACTTGAATTCTCAAACTTCTGTTAAGATTAGAGAATTGAGAAATGACTCTGATGATAAACTAGATATAATATAAGCAGTTGAGATTCCTACTTTTCAGAACAGTTATAATCTACTATCTGATGATAGTGATTAGATTCTACTCTACTCTCTTTTAGTATGAATATACAATAAAAACAACAAAAAAAGTTTAAAAACTCTTCAAAAATCACATTTATTCAAAATAATGTAGATAGAAACTCAAATTGTATTTATTCTTATCTTCAAATTGCATTTGAATAAAAAGTTGATTTTATACTGCTTCAGAAGCTGAATTTTGATGCTGAGCAAAAATATGTCATTTCTCATTCAAGCTACTACTGCTTTTTACCTCAAAAGTCTGAGATAAAGTTAAGAGTAGTGATCTATGAAAGAAAGAGATCAAGATATCAATTTAATCTAAGATTTAATATCATGTCTGACTCTGATATTCTGGTGAGTGATATTATAGATAAAGAAAATGAGTTTGATACTATACAGCTCATAAATATCTATAATAAAAAGTCATTAAAGAAAAATAATAATATCTGAATAATTGATAGAGAATTTCTGAACATAACTCAATCA